CGGAGGAATATTTTTGCTGATGACCACATCGCCAGACAGCTGGCGTGAGTCTCCAACGCAGTCCTGGAATCTGCAAAGGGAAGTTGGCTGCGCTGGGGGGAGGGAATCAGTTGCAATTGCCCCCCCCCAAGCTGGTGGCATTGCAGTGCCCCGAATGCAAAGAGGGGCACTGGCTTTTAAAGGGGTGAAGGAAGAGGGCTGCTCTCTGTAGAGCCTCCAGGCTTAGAGGCAGTGTACCCCTAAGAGTTAGCTTTTGGGAAGCAACAGCAGGAGGAGATGTTAGCTTTCGTGGGCCGGTTTGGGGGCTTCTTTAAAATAGGAATGGGACGCTGTTTAGTCCAACAGGAAGACCCGTATATTCATTGCTGTGAAAGGCGATGCAGCCCCCAGCTCCCAGCACAGTCTACCACAGGATGCTAATGGCCGACATATTTAGTAACAAATGCAATGGTGAGCAGAGATGGGAGGAATACGTGAGACGAGAGTCAAGTCTCGTTCAGACGGGGGGCCACGTTCACGCAACTTGCTATCCGAGGGGCAACAAAACGAGAAATGAAGTGAATGAATGATTTCACAGGGATTCAGGTGGGGCCAAAAATAAATATACCCTTTCCTAAGACACACCGAACTTAAAATCACCTAACGGACTATTGGTCCCCCTCGTTCAAACCTCGGGGTTTGCAAAGAGGAGGTCTGTTCCTCCTTGTTTTGAACCAACGGCGTGAGAAACACACACACACACGCTCAAGAGAGCGAGGGAAATCGCTAGGAATTTCTCTGCTGTTCTGGCGAGATTTGGCCGGATTGCAGGATGAGGCTTGGCTAGTCAGGAAGCTGTTGCACCTGGTATGTGAGAACAGCTCCAATCTTGCTCAGAACAATAGTCTGGGACGTTTTTCTTTCTGTCTGATCTTTAACCTTCCTTGTTTAGCAAACCTGGAAATGTTCCTGCTCCGTGGCTCAGCCTTCTTTAGGAGAAAAAAAAGTGATTTTTTTCCAGGGTGGCTTCATTGAGGTGAGCAATAGTCTCTGTCCTGGCCCCAGATTTTATTTCTCTCTCTTTTTTCCTTCTGGTTACCCTCGATCTGGGCCAAAAGACCGAGTGAGTTGACAGCCCTCTGGATATGGTCTTCTTTTATCCTGCTTTTATTACATGCGGCAATCCCATCTGATTTTGAATTCTGTTGGGTGTTCTGTTCGGGACCTTGGCCACATTCAAATGGGTCGTGACGCGGGAGGACTTGAACCCAGACCAGCTGGGAATTCTGAAAGATGTCCTAACAGGATAGGAAAAAGATGAGCTCAGAGGGCTTTGCAGCAATGAACGTGGAGGAGCGGAGGCTTCAGCTTGGAGGGCAATTCTCCATGTGGGTCTCAAATTTATTGGGGAGAGTCAAATATTTTCCTTTGAACTGGTCCTGCGGGCAGCAAGAGGCGCAGGGCGTGTTTGGAAGCCAGGTCTGGACCCCCAGCGCCAACTGGCTGGAGAAGGTGGGCAGGAAAACAGAGGAATGAAGGGTGGGAAGCAGGCGGGGCGTCAATCAAATTCTCTGCCTCTGTATCCTTGCGATGGCCCACCGAGGAACTGATCCTCCCGTTCGCAATTTTGCCTCTGTCGCATTGCAACTGGCCAACCCAACATGGAGGTGTTTTGGTCCTTTTTTCAGGCTGGAGCCTTCTGCACCCCAAACAAGGGTTCTTCCCCAACGTAGAGCCCCTTGGAGCACATCCGACAACATCTGGCACCTGCAGCCGTGAGAGGAAATGACACCAGCTTCCAACCGTTTGGGGTGGAGGATCATCGGCCGGGGGTCAGGGCCGATGCTGTTGCTGAGACGGACCCCCGTCACGGGGAGAAGCCTTGGAGAATCTCTTTTCCCCAGTTTCGTCGACTGATGTGGAGAGAGGGTCTCGAATCACGCGGCTGATAGGATCTGGGGCTTTCAAAGATGACCTGCCCTGTTTAGGCGGTTCGATTTCTTCGGATGAAAGAAAGGGGGGCTATAAGATTTGACCGTGCCCCATATGAGCTCTGTGTTTGTGTTTCTCCTCGCTTAGCAACCCGAAACCACGCTGATGGGAAAGCTTGCCTTATGATCGGGCCGCGTGTCCTTGGACGGGCAACCGTAAGCGGAGCCATTTCGGCCATGTTGGAGCTGTTTGGCGTGCGATTCTTTTTTTAGCCTGGAAAAAAAGACACCATGCCATCAAACAAGTGTGAAAGCAATTAGATTTGTACTCCGAAGGCAGAGGGACGCGTGCCAGACTTCATCGGGTTTTGCTCCGCTTTAAGAATAGTTCTAAATCTCATCTCTGTCCTTGTCGGTTGCGGTTGCCCTCAAATGGGGCAAACGTTGGTCCTTCAAAGCGCCTTCTCTCTGCACGTTCCACCAAATTGAATTTTGTCACAATTCCCACAGGGTCGGCACCTAGAATCCACAGGCACAGCCCTGCCCTGGGCCCTCCTTAAAGACCGGCACTCATTTGGGGAGGCAATTTTCCCCAATGCCTGATCGAGTATCTCTCCAACCTTGTGAGACCTTGAAACACCAGGAGATGGCTGAGGTTCAGAGGTTTCATTTCCATTTCCCACGACAGCGTTCCTCAACCTTGGCAACTTTAAGATGTGTGGACTTCAACTCCCAGAATTCCCCAGCCTGATGGGCCTGATGGTTCCACCTTCCTCCTTTGGTTGCCAGGCTGATAAAGAGCTGAGATCACCTGGGGATGTTGCCTCAGATGGCTTTCTGGAAAAGCCAGAATGGGGTGGCCTAATTGGGACCGTGGTTTAGAGAGACGAGGACCAGGATTGTCATGAATGTAGATCCAAGCCCGGCTTTGTGTTTTCGAAGACTTCC